TTGGAAAAGCGTGGCAGGGGCGAGCGAAATGAACCCACGACTGCATGCGAACTTCTTCATGCTAGTCTTCTGTGGAGCTCCTGTGGGGCTTGCTGGAAAAGCGTGGCAGGGGCGAGCGAAATGAGTCCACGACTGCATGCGAACTTCTTCATGCTAGTCTTCTGTGGAGCTCCTGTGGGGCTCGGAAAGCGTTGCAGGGGCGAGCGAAATGAGCCCACGACTGCATGCGGACTTTGTCATTTCGGCCTTCTGTGGAGTTCCTGTGGGGCTCGGAAAGCGTGGCAGGGGCAAGCGAAATGGGCCCACGACTGCATGCGGACCTTTGCATTTTGGCCTTCTGTGGAGCGCCTATGCGGCTTGAACAGCATGGCAGGAGCGAGCGAAATGAGCCCACCACTGCATGCGAACCTTTTGACATCTGCTTTCCGTGGAGCTCTTACGGGGCTTGAAAAGCATTGCTGGGGTGTGCCAGGGCAGAGACAGGAGAGAGGAGGGGACGCGGGGTGCTGCCGATTCGGGCCTAACACCACAGGATGGCTGGGGACTGAAAGAAAGCATAGGACAACTTGTGCAAACCGCAGAGCGCCCTCTGAAAAACCCTCCGAGAACCACCGAACGGTCTGACACGACGACGCCGACGCCGACGCTATGACGACGTCTGTTTATCTGTCGGTTGATAGCAGGCGTACGGTTTAGGGAAACCCGCTTGCAGGCAGGTCAGAAGTCGCGGACTCAGCCAAAACTCTTCGAGACCTGCTCACCCTTCTGGGCCCTTGCTGGCCGTCGTCGCCCACGACGGCAACGACCACGACGACGACGACGACGATAACGGCGGCGGCGACGACGACGGCCACGATGACGATACCGTCGGCGACGGCGGCGGCGGCGACATCGACGATGGCGACGGCCACGACGGTCAGGACGACGAAGGAGACAGCAACAGCGGCGGCAGACGATCCCACAGACGACGGCGAAGACGATCCCGCAGACGATCCCACAGACGACAGCGAAGACGCTCCCGCAGACGATCCCGCAGACGACGACGAAAACGCTCCCGCAGACGATCCCGCAGACGACGACGAAAACGCTCCCGCAGACGACGGCGAAGACGACGTCGACGACGCCGGCCACGGCAAGAGCGACGCGGCCACGACGACGGACACGACGGCGACTGCGCGGGAGACGGCCGTCGTCATCGCCGCCGTCTCGGCCGGCGGTCCTCGCGCAGTGCCTCTCCGATCTGCCGCGCGTCGCCGAGGGCGTCGCGGCCGCGGCAGACGGCCTGCGGCAGCCGCCTCCGCGCGGCAGCGACTCGAGCTTCGGGCGCGGCCTACGACGACTGACGACGACGACGACGACGACGACGACGACAACGACGACGACGACGACGACGACGACGGCGACGACGACGACGACGACGACGACGACGACGACGACGAGACGACGAAAGCCACGACCACGCGGACGACGATGACGACGGACACGACGGCGGCGGCCTCGGCGGGGGGCGCGGCCCGGCCAGCCGAAAACCTTCAAGGCAGACGAAGCCAGGACAAGGACCGGGCAAGGATGAATCTCCTTCTCTTCCTCCTCCTCCTCCTCCTCCTCCTCCTCCTCCTCCTCCTCCTCCGGGCGCAGCCTGGCCAGCCGAAAACCTTCACATCCGACGAGATCAGGACGGGGACACATTCGGACAAAGACGAATCGGAGATCTCTGAGATCCGGCAACTCTGGAGGATGTCTCGGGCGCCGCGGCCTCCTCAGAGCGTTCCAGAACGCTCTGCGAGCGTCTCGGGGCGCTCTGGAACGAGTCATCCCTATTCCACCTCCGCCCGATCAGATCACGAGGCGGGCCAAATCCCACCTAAGGACCTCCAACCTGGATTCTTTATCCAAAGGAGATGGCCCCGACCTGACATCGGATCCGCCGTACTTTGGCTGATGAATTGTGTCGGACATGCACTCCAAACGGTGGGGAAAAATAGAGCGGTGATTTCCGGCTCGGAAAGTCGGGCGGGTACTTCCGCAAACACCCGGTGGAAACAGCGGCGGCAGGGTATGGCGTAGCTCGACAGCAGGGGAGCTTGAAGAGCAGGGCGGACATGTCCCCCCTGCTTGCGGCATCGCCCAAGAAGTGCGGATCCGAAGTCAAGGGGAACTGCCCCTCTTGGGGATCTGCTAACCCGGGTCAATCAGACCCGGGTCAGCAGGACACCAAAAAACTGCAATGCAGGAACAACAAACTGCAACGCAGGGCTTCGCAAACCCGGGTCAGCCAACGTGCGCGGCCGCCTCGCGGCCACGAGCGGCGCGCTAACCCGGGTCAGCCAGAGGGGGCCTCCGCGGGATCCTGCAGGATCCCATGCCCTGGCGGACCCCCGCTTGCATGGACCCCCGTCTCTTGCCGTCGCTCGGACGTCCATCTCCCGTGCGTTTTTCGGTCTCGTGCGTGTTTGTTTTGCTCGATGGTCCAGGATGGTCCTCGATGGTTCTCGCCGAGAAAAAATGCACACGCCCGAGCGGTGCCAAGGTCTCTTATACGCTTCGACCCTCGACCCCGGGCCGGCCCCGGGGCCCGAAGCACGGCCCCCGGGGCACCGAAGCACGGCGAGGCACCTCCGTCCTGCTCGGGCCTGGCCTCCGGGCCGCAGCTCGGGCCTCCGGCGGCCGTCTCGGGACGGTCTGCGGGCCCCCCCCCCCCCCGTGCGGGCTCCCAGCGGGCTCGCCGCTGCGGGAGCGCCTCCCGAGGCGGGGAAGCCCTCGGGAGCCCACGGGAGCGTCAGGACGCCCTCGGGGCCTCTGCCCTCCCCTCCAGTGGAGGGGCGGCGAGGAGGCGCGGAAGAAGCCAGGGAACACCCCACCCGCCTCGATCCTCGATCCTCGCGCTGCGCCGCGGCATCGCTGCCCTGTTCGCAAGGAGGCCAGCTTAGACAACGGCGGCCCTCCCGCCTGGCAGGGCAGCCACTGGCTGCGCGGGTCACAGCAAGCGACGTGGGCCGCGGCTTCCGAAGTGGTGGTGTCTGAAACCAGAAGGGGGGCGCGGGAACCAAACCTTAGGCAGGCTTGCGCGATGTGTCGCTGTCTTCCCACATTGGAAGGGGGGGACGGGTCAGAGGGCCGATCCCGCCTGTGTTCTGTTAGTATGTTGGTGGCGAAGCGAAGCCTTTCACCCCAAATGCAGAGCCTGCACCCCAGCGCGTCAGTACCCGAGCCGAGATGACGAATGGTGAGGGGAGGAGAAAGTGAGATAGAGCCGATCCCGCCTGGCCCAACTCCGATTAAAATCGGTGCCCAAGGTCCCCCTGGGATCCACCCCGACCCGTTCTGTGAGGCGGATCCAGCCGTGGCGGCGAGAAACTCCCAGGCGAGACACGCCTGGCAGGGCCGCTGTGGACTCGACGTGGACCTCCTCCGATCCGGATCCCGACGGTTTTCGGGCCATTACTTTAGGTCGGGCGTGTCCTCCTACAGGCGGATTTTGAAGGACAAATGAACATGAGTCAAACGATATTCAAACATTACAGCGATACTCGAGAAATCGTCCCTGGGCTATTCTTTGATTATTTTTGAATATTCCTCCTGTAGAGAGGCATGCCCAACTTGACCATAACTCGGGCCTTCGGCAGCTGGCCCTCCCCCCCGAGCGCTCTCGATCAGGCGCAGCTGATGGGACGCACCCCGAGGCTGGAAAATCCCCAGGAACGGACGGAGCCGCCCGGAGACCTCGAGAGGCAGATCGAAGAAACAAACAAAAGAAAAGCCATATAGACATATTTTTTGGGCGCTCCGCGCGGATTTCTTGGATCCGCGCTGGACCCCCCTCCCCGGCGCGCGGAGCGCGCCGGGGGCGGCGCAGGAGGCGCCGCCGGGGGGCCCCAGCGCGGATCCAGGAAGTCCGCGCGGAGCGCCAAAAAATTAATGCTTACATGGTTTGTCCTGCTCCGAGCAGAGGCCACCAACTCAGAGCGTGGATTACCTCCCCCGCTTTCGCTTCCAGGCAAAACCAAGCCATACCACGCGCCTCCTCGTCAAGCGGCCTGACCAGTACAGGCCGCAATTTGGCATCGTTTGGTATCTCTTGGAAGCGAAGGATGTCAAAAGCGAGGTAGGTTTGCTTTCCCCCGACCAACGGACACACGCAGCACGCCGACTGCAGCAGCGCCGCCGCTGCCTCGGCGGGCCGGGGCGAGGCGGGCGCGCGGCGGCCTCTTGACGAAGGTCACGGCCTCGGTGCCGCCGTGCCTCGGGGCGCGGCGGCCGCGGCTCACTGCACCGGCCTTGCAGACGCGCTGCAGCGGCTTCCTGCGCAGATCTCTGCGTGGATTTTCGCCCGAAGCGCCGAGCGAAAGACGAAGTGGATTTCGTGTGGGTTCTTTTTGGTCTTGATGCCTGGCAAACCGAACACTCCGCACGAAATTCACCTCGAAGTCTGGAACGAGATTCTCCAGAACGCTCCGGGCCCATCCTAGCGTTTTTCGGACGAAATCCGCTCTGCGAGGTTGGCGCCATGACACGGTGGACATCTTGGGGCTGTGGCGACGACCGTGCGACTATGAGCAGGCAGCGCAAGACACATGTATTAGACGCCCGTATAGGTTCAGAACTTTTGCGGAGAGCATCCATGCACGCGTGAATTGCAAAAAGAAACGGAACAAAGAGAGTGAACAACAACACGGGGACTGAACGAAACCAGGGGCTGCGGCAGGTCCGCGTCGCGATGGCGTCAGCGTTGGTCGCTGACGCCGCACGAATAGCTCGACCTTGAACGATCGGCGGCTTTTCAATCGCGAGAACGTTCCGTAGTGGCCGATTCTGGCCCATTAGGGCTGTTCTACTCTGAACGCCCGCGGCGGGGTCGCCGAAGTGTCAACGCGGCGCGAACCTGCCGTAGATCCGCGACTTTTGATCTTCCTCGGCTGCCGGCCAGCAAGCGGCCGATTTTGCGATCTTCTCGAGGGGGCTGTCGGAGCTCCACGCGGATTTCTCGGATCGGCGCTGGAGCACCCTGGTAGAGCGAAGTCCAGCGCCGATCCAAGGAATCCGCGCGGACCTCCAGGAATTTATGCTTACGCCGCTATCTGTCCCTCGAATATCGGTTTCAGAGTACCCGCCACGGTGGGCAAGCCGTGCTGCCTGGGCCCACCCGCTCCGCTAGGGTGTACAGAGTGGTCAATGGCACCTCCTGGTCTGAGGTGAGCGTTGCCTATGACGTTCGCGGAGGCAACGCCCCCCACCATCCCGCTGCCGCGCACTCCCCTCTGCTGGCCGGGGTCGTGGGGGCCCTCCCCTCCCCCCCTAACTCGGTTCAGGTGGCCTGTCCTGGGCACGGCGCGTCGGCGCCCGCTCGCTCGGTCAGCGCCCGCCGGACAAAAAAAAACCCTCGAATGTCGGAGCACATGGACAAAACAACCACCCCAGCCAATTCGGCAGAGGTGAGGAGGCGGGTCGAAGAGCGGGAGGCCGACGAGTGCAGGCGTACACTCCCAGATCTTGCTGCGGGGTCTTCCCCCTCCTCCTCCCCCTCCTCCCCCCCCTCCTCCCCCTCCCCCCCTCCTCCCCCCCTCCTCCCCCTCCTCCCCCTCCTCCCTCCCCCTCCCCCCCTCCCCCTCCTCCCCCTCCTCCCCCTCCTCCCCGTCCTCCCCTCCTCCCCCTCCTCCCCCTCCTCCCCCTCCCCCTCCCCCTCCCCTTCCCCTCTTTGCAAGGACAACATGCAGCCGGGACAGGGGCGAGAGCACGGCCATTCGCACCTCTGCAGCTTTTCCCCACGGGGAGTCATGGCCGTCGGGACCAAACATGTAGCCAACACTGGCGCAGAAGCCAGCACCCACCAGCGGTTCGGGTTTAGGTGGTCTAGCGAGTTTTTTTTGTGTCTCTCTCCCAAATCCTTTTCCCATCGCGAACGGGTGTCCTCCCACTCCCCCCCGGAATATGTTAGGGGTTCGCGATGTGTTCGGGGGTCCTTTTTCGCCCAGGATGGCTCCAAAAAGGCCTCCGATGTTCCAAGATGGCATCCAATGCGGCTCAAGATAGCTGAAGACGGCCCAAAGTAGCTTTCGACATGCGGCCTGGCGATGGCCACAAGACGGTTCCGAGTGCTCTCGGGGCCCCCTTTCAGGACTCCCCCAAAAGGCCCAAATCCTTCAAACCACATGGAAACCAGTTGATACTTGGCTTCTCGCCTTTTTGCTTCCGATGCGCTGTTGAAGCCTTGACATGGTCCCAAGATGGCCCAAGAGATGGCCTACGAGGCCCCCCCAGACGGCTCCAAGAGCGCCCAAGAGCGTCCCTAGAGGGCTCCGGGAGGCGATTTGATGGCCCCAGGGGGGGAGAACATTTGCCCCTCCCCCCCTTTTGACATCCAACTGGGACCTGCCCGATGGCTCGCACGCACCCTTCGAGCCATGGAGGTGTTCCTCTGGAACTTCTCCAGCCGACAACCTCCTGCTTTTCTGGCGGCGGCAGGAACTTGGGCACTCCGTCGTACTTTCGTGGCCCTCTGTGCGTGATCGTAAGAAGCCCAGCTTATCGGCCAAGTTCGAAGTCATTTCATGATCTGGCACCGCTTCCTGCGCCTTGCCCTTCCTCCTGATCCTCCTCCTCCTCCTCTCCTCCTCCTTCGCCGCCCTTCTCCCCTCTTCGTCCTCCATCCCCATCTCCTGCTCCTCCTCATCCGCCGTCTCCTCCGCCATCCGCCACCGTGCCCTTGGGCACGGAGTGGGCGTGTCCTCAAGTCGTTTGCCCACTCCTCGGAGCCCCAGTCCTGTCCTGAGGAGTCAGTGAGTAACCAAGGGCTCCCAACTTCGCGCTTCGCGCTGCGCGAAGCGCGAAGTGCGAATAACATAACTTCGCGCTCTCGCGCCACCCCCCCAAAGGGAGAAAAGGAGGACAAGGAGGAGGAGGAGAAGGAACGAGGACCGCGAAGCGCGAATAACTTCGCACCCTCGTGGGAGCCCTTGGTAACCTGGGTCCCGAATTGCCAGATCTCTTGGGGCTTGCCGCGTGCCCCCTGGGGCTTAATTACCGCGTCATGTCGCGTGAGCTTCTGAGAGCGTGGGCTTGAGCTCGCTCAAGCTTCGCTCTGCGGGGGGGGGGGGACCTCATTTCCGACCTAATCCAGGCTTCGGGAGTGGGGGGGGGGGACCCTCATTTCCGACCTAATTCGGTGCTTCGCACCCCCCCCCCTCCGACGAGCCCTCCCCCCCCTGCAGAGCCCCCCCCCGCCCCCTCCTGCGCCAGCCCCCTCCCCCCTGCAGAGCGACCCCCCTCCGGCCCCCCCCCTCCCACCCCTGCAGAGCGGACCCCCCCCCTCCCCTGCACCCCCTCCCCTGCAGAGCAGACCCCCCCCCTCATGCACCCCCTCCCCCTGCAGCCCCCCCCCCTCAGCATAGCGGACCCCCCTGCAGAGCAGACCCCCCCCCCTCCTGCACCTCTATCCCCCCTGCAAAGCGGACCCCCCCTCCCTGCAGCCCCCCCCCCCCTTGCAGAGGCGGACCCCCCCCGTGCAGCCCCGCCCCCCTGCAGAGCGGACCCCCCCCCCTCCCCTCCCTGCACACCCCCCCCCTGCAGAGCGGACCCCCCCCTCCCCGCCCTATTTCAGCGCCGCCCCCCCCCCCCTGCAGAGCGGACCCCCCTCTCTCCCCTGCAGCCCCTCCCTCTGCCGAGCGGACCCCTGGCCCCCCCCCTGCAACCCAGCTCCCGTCGTCGTCGTCGTCGTCGTCGTCGTCGTCGTCGTCGTCGTCGTCGTCGTCGTCGTCGTCGTCGTCGTCGTCGTCGTCGTCGTCGTCGTCGTCGTCGTCGTCGTCGTCGTCGTCGTCGTCGTCGTCGTCGTCGTCGTCGTCGTCGTCGTCGTCGCTCGTCGTCGTCGTCGTCGTCGTTCGTCCGTCGTCGTCGTCGTCGTCGTCGTCGTCGTCGTCGTCGTCGTCGTCGTCGTCGTCGTCATCGCCGTCGTCGTCGTCGTCGTCGTCGTCGTCGTCGTCGTCGTCGTCGTCGTCGTCGTCGTCGTCGTCGTCGTCGTCGTCGTGGTCGTTGTCGTCGTCGCTCTCGCCGTCGTCGTCGTCGACGTATTCGTTTTCGTCGTCGTTTTCGTCTTCCTCGTCGTCGTTCATTTCCACAGGCACCCGGAGCGCCCCGGATCGGCGGCACTGGCCGGAGGCCACTACAGTCTCTTTGGGCTCCCCGCGTGCCCCCGGGGGCTTACCGCGTCATGTCGCGTGATTGGCTCGGGCCCACGAGGTCCCCAAGACGGGCCGAGAGAGTCCCGAGAGACCCCCCAAGACGGTCCAGGAGGGCCCCAAGTCGCCGAACGATCGCTCCAAGACGCTTAAGATGGCCCCTAAGACGGCCGAAGAGGCCTCCAAGACGCCCAAAGAGGTTTCCAATAGGCCTCCCAAGAGGGCCTCAAGAGGCCAACATCATTGATTCTCTATAAGTTGTGCAAAAGGTTTTGGCGGTCTCGCCTTGTCGGCTTCCCGACGCTCCCAGGCGGCCCTAGAAGCCCCCCAAAACGCCCCAAGACGGTCCAAGGGGCCTCCAAGAGGGCCCCCAAACGGCCCAGAGTGGGCCCCCAGACGGCCCAAGAGGCGCACAGAACGGCCCCAGCCCAAGAGAGGTAACACGAATCGAACATCCGAGCCTCCCACCGCAAGAAGCCTCCAGGAGGCACCAAAAGGCGCCCAGGAGGCCCCAAGATGCCTCCAAGAGGCCCCAAAGATGCCCCAAGAGGCCCCCGAGAGGCCCCCAAGAGGCCCCAAGAGGCCCCCAAGAAGCCAAAAGAAGCTCCAAGAGGCCCCCAATCGGCCCCCAAGAGGCCTCCAAACCGCCTCCAAGAGGCCCCCGAGAAGCTTCTCACGAGATCCCAGCGAACATCTGATAGGCTTCATACCCACAACACAGGCACGGTGGCGGGATGGACCGAATGCCGTGAGAAGGCGTCTCTTGGTGGGCAGCCAGCACTCTCGGAAGAGCGGCCTGGTGAATGGACAGCTTTCCCTTCAATTTCTTCCTTCCCCTACTGTTTTTCATTATCTTCCTCCACCTCCGCTGAGATCTGACGTTGCGAACAAATCGCAGCATCGCGACAAATCGCGACCAGAACCCTAAAACTCATCCTTCTACGCCAATTCTTCGGGATCGACGCGTGAGGGTCCCGGGGCTCGAAACCAAGCCAGAATGCCCGTTCGGGAAAAAACGCAACGCCCGGACTTCAGGGCCCTTGATCTCCTCCTCCTGCTCGACCTCCTCCTCCTCCGCTCCGTGGGACGGGATGCTCCGAGAGGCCCGGGACGTGGAAGCCTGGGGACCAGGACATGAACAGCGTGTCGCGTCGAAATGTGGTGGGCAACAACTGGCGGCGCGACACGCTGTCCAAAGGATACCGACTGCATTCTTCTTAGCATCATCCATCTCCTTGCTCTCCTCCTCCTGCTCGCCCTCCTCCTCTTTCTCCTCCGACGTTCCAAGCAGGCACGATGCTCCTTCCCTTTTCCTGCTGCTTCTCCTCCTCTGCGTGAGCGGTGCTCGGCAAGAGCGGAGGGGCAGGCACCCGTCGTAGACCGCATAGAACTCCTCGCGGCATCGCACCACGGTCAAGCGCCCGCATGTGGGGCGTCCTCCTCCTCCTCCTCCTCCTCCTCCTCCTTCTCCTCCTCCTTCTCCTTCTTCACGAGGGAGAGAGTGGAGGAAAAGGGACGAGGAAGGAGGGCGAAGAGGGCTATAGGAACTTTGAAGTGGAGAACCAGTTCAGAGAATTTCCCAGGGGCCTCACGCTCTCTCCTCCCTCCTCCCTCCTTTTCTCTTCAATCTTTCCCTCCTCCTCCTCCTCCTCCTCCCTCCTCCTCCTCCTCCTCCTCCCCTCCATCCACCCCCTCCCCCTCCTCCTCCTCCCCTCCTCCTCCTCCTCCTCCTCCTCCTCCTCCTCCTCCTCCTCCTCCTCCTCCTCCTCCTCATCCTCCCCCTCCCCCTCCTCCTCCCCTCCTCCTACTCCTCCTCCTCCTCCTCCTACTCCTCCTCCTCCCTCCTCCTCCTCCCCCTCCTCCCCCGCTTCCTACCCATCCTCGTCCTCGCCCACGCCCCTCCTCCCGAATCCGTCACCTGCACCTGCTCCCCACCCCGAATCCCTCCCTACCCCTCCTCCTCATCCTCCTCCTCCTCCTCCTCCCCATGCTTCTCCGCCACGGCATCTGTCGTTTTACGGGCCGTCCTAAAGCTACTGCCGGAAGGAACGACGTTTCTGTCTATCGCCCGAAGCGCCTGCGTGCACGAAGGGCGCTAGAAGAGGAACCATGGAAGGCATGGTATCGTTTACCGTTGGAGGCAAACGAGATTGCAAAAAACAAATGCGTTCGCCACTCGCGATAACTACACTGAACTCCTGCGCAGGCTCAGACCCAACAGAACACAAGATATGTTCAACGGTGTCATGACCCCCGCCAGAAGGCAGCCTTATCTGGGGCCTTTGGGCAACCTCCGAAAAAGGAAAGCCCCGCCCTCCATGCATCCGAGGATCGACAGAGGCAGGCAAACGTCGTCGTGGTTATGGTCGTCGCCGACGTCGCTGCCGACGCCGTTTCCGTCGACGTCCGTGGTCGCCGCCGTCGCCGCCGCCGCCGTCGCGTCCGTCGTCGTCGCCACCGCTGTCGCCGCCGTCGCCGCCGCCTTCGTGGCGTTCCAAGTATGCGACGATGTTTTCTTTCAGTGCGCCGCCTCAGAGGTCCTGACCCCTTCTCTGGGGCAATTTTTCGCCCAGGATCTGTTCTTGACGACCCTACCGACAACGGGCCCTGGAGGCCGAAATCGGGGAAAGACACCAATATTTAAATACATCAAATCGTCGGAGCTCTGAACGCACGGCAGGTACGTGTCGAGACGACATCATCGCTGGTATCTGACACCGCGTGGTTCGTTCAACCTTGAGCAGTCGCGGCCGTCCGATCGCGCAGGACCGCTCGATGTGTCGGTCGATTTTGGTCCACTGGCGGCGCTCAACCTTGAACGCCCGCGCCGGGTTCGCCGCCGCGCGGCCGCGGCACGAACCTGCCGAGGTGGAAGAACAACGCCAGCACGCGCATGCACTTTCAAGGGTCCGCGCGGATTCCTTGGGCGCTGGACCTACTTCCCTGGCGCGCTCTGCGCGCCATGGCCAGCGCCAGTCCACAAACTCCGCGCGGACATCCGATCGATTATGCTTATGCTCATGTTTCTGTTCATGTTTTACACCTTCGACGTAGGTCCCCTGGTCGTCGAGCCTGAGGCCGCGCGGCGCGCGAGCGCGCGATCATCTTCCGCGCCCTTGGCGCCGCCCCCGCGGAGGAGACCGGCTCGCCATGCCCAGACCGCTGGAAGCGTTGGCCACGCGCTCCTCTCCGCCCCCCCTGGGCGAAGCGGGGGGCCCGGAGGTGTCCTTCCCGTGCGCGGCGCGTCCGCGCGCGCTGGCGCCACGGGCGGCCGCTCTTTCTCGGAGGCCGCCCTGGCCCTCGCGCGACTCCCTGGCGTGGAACCGTCGCTCGGACGCCCATTCCCCGTGCACGGTGTTGGCTCTCGTGCGTGTTTTTTTTTTTGCGCTCGATGATCGAAGATGCTCCTCGATGGTCCTCGCCGAGAAACAAAGTCCACTTCTCGCAAAGTCTTGAGTAGAATCGCGCTTCGCGCGCGTCGCGGTCTGGGACGGAGCACCCGGCCTCTTGCTCCAAGGGGGATTGGTGCGAGGGCGCGAGGCCAACCTCCCCCTCCTCCCTCCTCCTCCTCCTCCTCCTCCTCCTCCTCCTCCTCCTCCTCCTCCTCGTCCTCCTCCTCGTCCTCCTCCTCCTCCTCCTCCTCCTCGCTGATTCGACGAGCGCGTTCCACCACTCGCAGAGTAACTACTCGCGCCCTTGCTTGGAAGCCGCCCTGGCCCGCCCCGGACGCGCGGTGCCTCTGCGCCCGCCCTGCCTGCGTCGAGCACTCGAGAGCCTGTCTGAGGAGGAGGAGGGGGAGGAGGAGGGGGAGGAGGAGGAGGAGGAGGAGGAGGAGGAGGAGGGAGGAGGAGGAGGAGGAGGGAGGAGGAGGGAGGAGGGAGGAGGGAGGAGGAGGAGGAGGGAGGAGGGAGGAGGAGGAGGAGGAGGGGGGAGGAGGATGAGGTCCTGCCTTCCCCTGCCCGCGCGCCCGATTGGCACCCGTCGCGCCTCGTCGCTCGCTGGCCGCTTGCTGGAGCCGGCTCGCCGCCGATTGAGATTGAAAAACGCATGGGTGGTGCAGCTGTGGCCTGGCGGCGCTGGCTGGCCACGCCGCAGGCCATGCGAAGCGGGCCTCGAACGCAAGCGGCCCCCCCAGCAACCCCCAAGCACTTGGTGCATGGCCGCATGCCCGCAGGATCTGGCCAGCAAGACAAGGATGAGTCCAATGAGGGGGAGGGAGCACTGGCACCCCCGGAGAAAGAAGAAACATCATCACACTACTAACATCATCACTGATATGATTATATCAAGTAGTAATACCACTAATAATCATAACAAGGGGAATGATAATAGCAACATTCGTAATAACAGTAACAATAGCAGTAACGATCATGCTAATCATTATAGCCATACCTATACGACCACCCCTCGGGTGATAACGAGGTTGTGGGGGGGGAGAAGGGGGGGAACCAACATCTCACTCAATCGATCTCACAATCGATCTCACTCAACGGGACACCACGGGACACCACGGGACACTTGTCGATCTCACTATCGATCCCACTATCGACCTCACTCAACGGGACACCACGGGCCACCACGGGCCACCACGGAACACAACGGGACACCGCGGGACACCTCTCGATCTCACTATCGGTCTCACTATCGATCTCACTATCGATCTCGCTCAACGGGACACCAGAGGACACCACGGACACCCCGGGACACCACGGGACACCTCGGGACACCACATCGATCTCACTATCGATCTCACTTTTTGGGACACCACGGGACACCTCGGGACACCACATCGATCTCAGTATCAATCTCACTATTGATCTCACTGCGGCCCGGCCACAGGAGGATTTCGGGACACCAGCGGGACACCGGCGGGACACCGCGCCGCACCGGCCGCCGGAGGAGAAACATTTGGTCCGGCCGCGGCCCAGCCAAAGGAGGATTTCGGGACACCAGCGGGACACCGGCGGGACAGCGCGCGGCACCGGCCGCCGGAGGAGCAACATTTGGTCCGGCCGCGGCCCAGCCACAGGAGGATTTCCTCTCACCCGCCCACGCAACTTCGCCTCGCCCGCACGCGCGCACGGCACGCACGACACGAACCCGAAACCGAAATCGATTTACCGGTAGGGGAGGTCTCCGTTTCACGTCGGACTCACCCCCCAACCTCCGACTAAGAAGAAGAAGCGGGATGATGTGGGCAGGGAGAGGAGTGGGGATGAGAAGGATGGGCGGGAGAATAATGGGAAGCAGGTGGAGGACCAGGACACGGGGGAAAGATAGCTTGCCACAGCCCTCCGCCCACAACGTCTTCGAAATTTATGCTCTGGGGTCGGTGCCACTGTCCCATAAATCATCTTCCCATCCACCTCTTCACCACTTGTTCCTCCGCCTACCCGTCTTCCCTTTTCCTCCTATGCCTTCACCTGCGCTTCGTCCTCTCTCCTCCTCCTCCTCCTCCTCCTCATTATTCTCCTCCTCCTCCTTCTCCTCCTCCTCCTCCTCATTATTCTCCTCCTCCTCCTGCTCCCCTCCCTCTTCACTACTTATCTTCCTCTTCCTCTTCTTTCTGCTCTAGTCCTTAATTCTCTTCCTTGTGCTACTGTAATTACCTCATCCTCCCCCTCCTTCTAGATACTCCCTTCTCTCCGTCGACCTTATCATCCTCTTCCGCGTCCTCTTATTCTCCGTATCCCTATCCCGTATATGTTCCTCCTCATGTTATTCCTCTTCCTCCTACTGGGTCGCCGTAGGCTCAGCGACGTCGAGCTGGGAGATGACGTCAACCGCATCCTCCATGTTCCCGCGCGGTCCCTGAAGGGCTCGGATGGGCAAGCAGGAGAGGGCCTGGGAGTATAAACGCAGCAAGACCGCTGCGGTGCGCAGGCAGAGGCGAGGAAAGAGAAACAGACAGAGAGCGAGAGAGGGGCAGAGAGACACACACACACAAACGAACAAACAAACGAACACACAAACAAACATCCACACACACACGCGTACACACAACACACACATTCACACACAATCACACACATGCACATACACGCACACGTACACACATACACGCACACGCGCACGCAAGCACACGCACACGCGCGCGTGCACGCACACGCACACGCACGCACAGACGAACATGCGCACGCAGATGTATTTGCGCGCGCACACGCACATTCACAGACACGCATCTTCACACACAGAAACACACACAGACACACACACAGGCACACACAGACACACACATAGACACACACACTCACACACGCACGCACACGCACACGCACACACAAACACAAGCACAAACACGACCACAAACATAAACATAAACACACACACGCACGCACGCACGCACACAAACACACACACACACCTTCACACACACACACACACCTTCACACACAAACACACACCATCACTAACCTCCACACACACACACACGCTTGCGCACACCAGCTGAAGAAACATGCTGGCGGCCGACAGGAGGCTGAGGGATGATGAGACTCTGTTTCGACCGTGGCTTCGGCGCCAACGGAGACAACGGCAGCTCTCGCGACCAGCTCACGTCCACTCAATATCAGCCAGCGTTGACACCAAATAGACAGGAGGACAGGAGGAGGACGAGAGGAGCAAACAAGAGCCTGCGATCAAGTGCAAGCAAGCAAGGGCAAGCAAGAACAAGCAAGCGAGAGCAAGCACGCAAGAGCAAGCAAGCAAATGCCATTGGGAAAAAGAGGGTGCCATAGGAACAAGGGGGGGGGTCCATTGGAACAAGAGGGGGGGGGAGGTGCTAAAGACCAATGACTTATGATGAGCTAGGACTCCTTTAGGGCACACCTATTTGGAGAACATCTGTCCTTGGATCCTCCCGGGGTCCCTCCTGCACCGTTTTTCTTCGAAGCGGATTCAGCCGTGGCGACAAGAAGCCTCCAGGGGGCATAACAAAGGATGGGACACGCCAGGGACGGCCACCGTTGTCTCGACTTGCCCTCCTCCGAAGAGGTGGATGAGGATGATGACGAAGGTGAGGGGGAGGACGAGCAGCGAGACGTCGAATCCCTAAAGCGCCCGCCCCATCCTCCCCACACCCTGCTACGACGACGCGCTCCTCCTCCTTCCACTCCTCCTCCTGCTTCTCCTCCCCCTCCTCCACTCTCCGCCTCCGCCTCCGTCTCCGCCTCCTGCTCCTCCTCCCCCGTTCACTCCATCCCCTCCATCTCCGCCTCGTCGTCCGCATCCGCCTCCGTCTCGCCGCCTCCGCCTCCGTCTCCACCTCCTCCTCCCCCTCCTCCTCCCCCTCCTCCTCTTCTCCTCCTCCTCCTCCTCCACCTCCTCCCCCACCTCCTCCTCCTCCTTCCTCCATTTTCCTTATCAATAACTACTACCGGAGAAAAGCCCCAATCATTATCTTTTTAGGGCTATAGGGCTATGGAGCGATAGGGCTATAGGGCTAGAAGGCTATGGGACTATAGGGCTACAGGGCTGTAGGGCAATAGGGCAATAGGGTAATAGGGCCATAGGGTTATAGAGCGCTGGGGCTATAAGGCTATACGGCTATATGGCTATAGGGCTATGGGGCTATTAGGGCTACTGGATTATTGGGGCTATTCGGGCTATAGGGCTATAGGTCTAGAAGGCTAAAGGCTATAGGGCTATAGGGTTATTGGGCTATGGGGGCTACAAGGGCTATAGGGGCTATAGGGCACTAGGGCTATGAAACTATGTGTAGCGCTATGGGGCTACCGGACACCCAGGCGTGCCGCCGACATCGGCGCCGTACCTCACCTAATCACAGGATGCCCGAGAAAAGCCCAAACCATAATCCTTGTAGGGCTATAGGGCTATAGGGTTCTGTGACCATTGGGTTATAGGTCTATAGGGCTATAGGGCGATAGGAGTATAGGCGTACATATATGTATAGAAGAGCATAGGGCTATAGGGCTACAGGGTTATACGGCTAGAAGTCTATAGGGCTACGGGGCTATAAAGGCTATAGGGCTATAGGGCGATTGGGCTGTAGGGCTGTAGGGCTGTAGGGCTATAGGGCTATGGGGCTGTGGGGCTATAGGGCTACAAAGGCTATGGGGCTGTTGGTCTATAGGGCTATAGGGCTATAAGGCTGTGGGGCTATAGGACTATAGGGCTATTGCACTATAAGGCTATTAAGGCTATAGGGCTAACAGGGCTATAAGGCTATAGGGCTATAGGGCTAGAAGGTTACAGGGCTATAAGGCTATAGGGCCAGAAAACTATAAAACTATAGGGCTACCGGGCACCCGGGCACCCGGGCACCAGGGCACCCAAGCACCCGGGCGTGCCGCCAAGATCGGCGCCAAACCTCACCTGACCAAATGAATCCGCTAGGACCCCATACGGAGGCAAGCTCTGATTGGTGAATGAGTCCGCTAGGACCCCTACAGAGGCAAGCTCTGATTGGGGAACCTCTCCCTGCCGCACCACCGGACGCGTCGGCAGCGCGGGCTGGGCGCTTCGCCCGGGACCTCCCTGCTATGCATGGTCCCGAGGGTTGAGAAATGCGGCAGTTTCTCAGGTGGAGAGGGATTGCTTTCGAACTGTGGCTAGCGCACGAACGCCGCGCACACGTGTTTTCAAATCTGCAGCAGCTTCACGACTGGAGGGGGGGCTGTTATTCGAATGTGGCTCTCGCCTTCGCATCGCAGACATTCGTTTGAACAGTTGGCAAAATATTCAAGGATGGAGGGGGGGTCGTTTTTGAAGCGGAGCTCTCGCCTTCGCGCCCGGATTGTTCGCCTTAAACTTGTAAGCAGTCTACAGGACGGAGGCTCTCGCGTTAGCGTCGCGCGCATTCGTCTTAAGCAGGTGGCAGGGCCAGCGGGTGCTGGTCGTTTGAAGGTGCGTCGCGTCTTGAAGTGGAACAGAAGGCTTGTGGGGACTTTTGAAGAGGGAGCTGGGGACGGGAGGGTGTGTTACGGCATCGTTGGTGCATTCTGGGTTTACTCTGGTGCTCCTCTTCCTCCTCCTCCTCCTCCTCCTCCTCCTCCTCCTCCTCCTCCTGCTCTGCCCTCTCCGAAAACGTTCGAGAATCTCCGATGACCGCAGAAAACGTCGTGCACAGCCTCCCGGAGCCCCCTCGAAATCGCCGCTGCCGTTGTCGTCGTCGCCGCCGCCGCCATCGCCGCCGCCATCGCCGCCGCCGCCATTGCCGCCGTAGTCGTCGTAACATGATCAATGAACGTCGAATCGGGAAACTGGATCGAACCGGAAAATGTGTCGGACCAGGCCGCATCGGCATGTCCGCGCCAGGTTGCGCAACGGCTCCGCGCAATCACGGATCGCTGGAATACTGGAATCGGATCGACCAGGTTGAAACACGGCCCTGCCACCTGGACTGCCTTCGGAGGCTGGCTGCGTGCTGCCAGCGGCCTTTCGCCAGCACAGGAACGCCGCTGTCGCACCCGGTCTGTGCTTGCGATGCCTCCGCGGATCTGGGCAAGGGCCGTGGGCCCGTGCGGCTCGCAACTCCGTGGCCATCGTGGTCGTCGTGGTCGTCGCCGTCGTCGTGGTCGTCGTCGCCGCCGCCGTGGTCGGCGCAGTCGTCGTGCTCGTCGTGCTTGTGTGGTCGCCGTCCGCCGCCCTGGCCGCGAGGGAGGCGGCCCGTCGCAGGGAGTCGGGCCCAAGGGCCTCGGGGGGGGGTGGGGGGGGGGGCGCCTGGGGCGGCGGCCTCTCGCCATCGCCCGCCTCCTCGGACGGCCCCAGGGGGCCCCCTGGGAGGGCCCCACGGGCCCGCACCGCAGACGATGGAGGAGAGCCTCCTTCGTGCCCGTTCCCATCGAGGCCCTCCTCGCCTTCGTGGCGGCCTCGCCACCGCCGCTGCTGCCGCCGCCGCCGCCGCCGCAGCCGCTGCCGCCGTCGCCACCGACGCCCTCGTCGCTTCCGTCGTCGTCGTCGTCCTCGTTGCCGCCGATGCCGTCGTCGCCGCCGCAGAGGAGGAGGAGTAGGAGTAGTAGGAGTAGGAGGAGGAGGAGGAGGAGGAGGAGGAGGAGGAGGAGGAGGAGGAGGAGAAGGCCGCTTGCAAGAACTCTATCCCTCGCACTCGCCCCCGGCGCCGCGCCGCGTCCGCGCGGCCGTCCTCGGGGGGCCGGCCTCAGGCTCACCATGAGAAGGTGATCGCCCGCGGCACCAACATCATCCACCAACGGGCGAACATCATCGCCACGGCATCGGGAGGCTGCCCAATGTCAGGGCGTTTCTGCATCCACAGCGTACGAGCCTACGAAACATAAGTCCACGGCGCTACAATTGCACGCCGTCTCGCCCGTCAATGGCGTCGCAATGTATGCGAGGCGTTGGTGCGGTCTGGGAAGTACGGCAACAAGTGCGCCAGGACGGTCCTACAACGGCGGACTGCACTGCGGCGAAGCCCTACGCTCAGGCACCCAGTGGTAGAAGACAAAGGACCCTGACTACAGCTTCATAGCTTCCCGCCCCAGAGGTCAAGGAAGCCGTCATCAAGGTACCGGCCCGAGACCTGTAAGACTTCCAGCGCGGCACTGGCAGCAACAGAGAGCACGACCAGGGCGGCCAGTAGGGCCAGGAATGCAGCCATAACGGGGGCGCATGCTGTTACGAGATTGGCTCGCCCTTCCAGATGTTCTACGGAAGCCCACCCGCTGAGCCTCGAGTGCCACCTGCAGAGCTACGACAGCAAGAGGCAGAGTTTCGAGAGCCACTGGGCGAGGAAGAGCGGGACTGGCCCTCGCTGTTCCTCTCTCCTCTTCTCCTCTCGCGGCAACTGGAGAGTGGAGCACTACGGTCTGGCAGCCAACGACTCCGACTTGGACCGCGGGGAGGGCGAAGGAGGCAGACGAGGAGGAGACCACGAATGCAGACGAGGAGGAGGACTACGAAGAGGCGGAGAAGGAGGAGGCGGAGGATGAGGAGAAGGAGGAGGGGGAGGAGGAGGAGGAGGAGGAGGAGGAGGAGGAGGAGGAGGAGGACAAGGAGCAGGCGGAGACCGGCGCCTGGTTCACGCACCAGCCCGCGCGGCCGCCGGCGCCAGCGGCGTCGGTGGGCAGCGCGCTGGTGGAGCCGCCGGCGCCCGCGGCTCTGCTGGCGCCGGGGGGCGCACTGCCGGGTGGGGGGCGCGCTGCCGGGTGGGTGCCCTCCTAGGGAGCGCACAGAGGACGCACGCGCCCAACCACGTATATGAGCACGGCCCCCCAACGCGCGAGACTGGCCGCGTGATGCGAAGGTTCGCGCAATGCGTACTCTCGAGGCCAACGTGGATTCATGTATGTGTACGTCCTTCTTTCGCTCCTGACCTCGCCTCTCCCTCATGTACGTGTACCTCCTTCTTTCGCTCCTGACCTCATCCTGTTTCTCCTCATGATGCTGCATTCCCTGCCTCCCTCGCTTTCCTCTTCTCCCCCCTCCTCCCCTCCTCCTGCTCTTGACGCGCACGCTTGCGGCCGTCCCGTCCCGCGCTCGGGGCCGAGGCCGTTTGGCCGTCCTGGGGTTGCCCTAGGCGGCCTGAAAAAGCTAGGTAGCAGCGAAGTGAACATGGTAGAGAGGAGAGGGGCCGACTCACACGGCGGGGGCGACAAGAGGCGCTGCGACTCCAGCGGGGTCTACACGATGGCGTGGGTTGGAGGCGTGAGTGGGGGCCTTCCTCCTCCTCCTCCTCCTCCTCCTCCTCCTCCTCCTCCTCCTCCTCCTCCTCCTCCTCCTTTTCTCCGTCCTGGATCATCCTTCTCCTCCACCTCTTCCTCCTCCCTCCTTCTTCCCCGCCCTCCTCCTCCTCCTCCTCCTCCTCCTCCTCCTCCTCCTCCTCCTCCTCTTCCATCCCCCCCTCCATCA